CCCCCCCCCCCCAGGGCAGAAGCTGGGTACGCGCATGATTAGCACCCGTTTATTTTAATTAAACTTTGAAGCTTAATAACTCGATAATAATACATTTAATTGCAATATTCTATGGACAACTTTTTCTTGCTCATGGCACACCCTCGCCGGGAATCGAACCCGGTTTTACGCACCATTGCTCTGAACACTAAGCTACGAGAGGTGACAGCAGGAAAAAAGGACGAAACGTACTATCGCGTCACAGAATCGTCGAAACGAATGTACAATATATATATCTGTTAATGTCAGTATATGAAAAACTAAAAAATTTTACTTTTCACAGCGGTTAATAATTAATAATTTTTAAAGGTTTGATTAGTAAGGGAATTCAAATCGAATTGAAATTCTATTAAAATTCGAGAAGCAAGCAGTACAATTGAGTTTAAATGCAGACTCTTACCCCAAGCGACGATTAAACCACTAGCAAAATCACTATTCTCTGTGTTATCTTTTCATGTAATACTGAATATTTCTTTGATAATATCGAATGGATGTTGCAAGGAAGTCTAAACGCAAAAATACCGATAAATATACTAATCAGCAACCTTGAAAAAGTTACTTTTCAATGTATGCATTTTCTGCTAACTGTGGCAGTCTTATCATTTAGTGTATGTAGCATTCTGTATTATGAAGAAAAAAAGAGACAAAAGGTGCTTCTGTTGAGGTTTTTAGCCTATAGTTTTAACGGTAAATAAGCAATTTTGAAATGCAACTTGGACCGTAGCGATTAACTCAGAAAGTGATTATTAAATAAATATTAAAATGAAGGAATCCTAATGAATAGATTAATATAATAAATTTTGATTGAAAAACTGTTTCCAGTCTTAACCTGTACCTCATTTCGTTTTCGTACAGTTGGGACGTTCAAAATTGGCATGGACCGCAATAAAACTGATACTGTTCGTTTCAAGAAGTTTGAGATATGCCCCTTCCCTTTATTAAGATGCACCGTACCATAATTACAAATTCAATCATATTTGTCTGCGGAGCTCATTTCATCATCAAGGGAGAACTAGACAAAAGTGTACAGTACCATTTGCTAAATTATTTAAACTGCCTCGTTAAAATTTAAGAACATGCTTTATTTAAAAGCATATGTAGCCAAAAATAATAACAAATGAATTAACTTAACGCTCTACACACCTATAAAACTTTTGCTTTGTTTTCTAATTTTAATTTACATACACTTTTGTTTTGAGAAATTGCTAAATATTTTCGTCCAGTACTGTACAGTTCTAGCCGATCTCCTAAGACCGCCCATCGAGAGCTCCGCTCGTTCAAGCTTGTTCCAACTATTTCTGTCTTGCTCACGCCTAGTGTGTATTCTTTCTATTTTCGCGCAGATTTCTTCAAGGTCATAATTCTAACAAACTGAAATAGACTGTACATTTACTTTCTTATTTTAACTTACTGACTAGAATAGAGCGGTTACTGACAGAACGCCTGCTTTTACTCATAACAGACAGAAAGGAGTTGTCAGGTAGGAATTGCAGCGGACACTAATAAAGAAAAAGGAATAACATTACACCAATTGATATTTAACTGAAACAGATGAAGAAAGTTCAACATTCTCAGGAATTTAGTAAAGTAAAGACGCTCGTTTAAAGATATAAAGCCGACCTCTAACAGCTGCACCGCTTACTGTTATTCGGTTATCTCTTTTTACTTTGTCTGTACTACTCATGAAGCATTTCGTAACTTAACAAGGGCATAGTCAAAACGCAGCAAATGGCTACAGTCCTAAGTGGAAACAAGAAAGAAGATACTTCCATTTTCATAGATAATTTATTGCGGACTATGCCAATTTTGATCGTCTTAACTATAGGTAAATATATATACGTATGCTTGTCATTTCTATTACGTCGTTGTTCGAACTGGCTGTTAATACAAGTAAGAATGAGATAACATGATTCAGAGGAAAAGAGGTCGAAGTAGATCGTGGGCGGCTTTATATCCTTTGATAGTCAGCTCAATTGAAATTCACAAGTACTTGCCGCAACTCGTTAATACAAGGGCTTTTAAGAAAATGCCTCAAAGCCTATTAGTGCAAAAATGACTGATTAATTACTAAGGAACGGGCGATTTTGTTAAATGCATCACAAGTTGAAATTAATAGCGTTATAGCACTTTCCCAACCTTTTGTGTCTTTTTGTTGGCGTTACGAGTATAAAATCAATTTTGATGGACCTTTTACAAGCGTAATAACTAGTAAAGAGTCAGTATAGCATAGAGTTTGAATTACCAAAAATTGTCTTAAAGTGTCAGTTGCCATGATAGTAGATAAACAGCAGTACAGTAAAAGTTCCTTATTCGCGTTTTCATTGTTCGCGGGTGAAAAATTGCAACCCAGTTCATGTATTCGCGGCTAAAAATTTCAGAAAAGGATTCGGTGTCATTTATTAAGGGGATTGACCGCAATAGACCATTCGTGCTTAGTGTGAATTTTTCCGAAAATATTGTAATTTAACGCTGCGAGATAAGTATCTGATTTTTTGTATGGTAACAGACAAAGGTTCACACTAACTCGCTACGTTTTTGGTTTTCAATAATATGGCCATTAAAAGCTTCTACAAGTGCCTAAAGTTGGTGCTTCTTGTAGGACACCTATTTTCAATAGAAATTAAAATATTAAAAAATGGCCCCCGACAGGCTTCAGAAAAAAGCTTTATCCATCTTACTGCAAAATTTCAAACCTTTGTTCCAAACATTAAACTAATGATATCTAGGACCGATAAGCATGCACTACTGAATCTCATGCACTACTGAATCTCCTGAATGTATCGGCATCTTTTGAGTATGTACTGTTGGTACGTGTCGAGGCAGCTTTTATAAATAAAAGAGGTAACCGAGTTCAAAATTCAAAACAAGAAAAAATCACTAAATTTTTTAAACCCTTGTCTAAAGGTGATTATAACGATTAATTTTAATTGCGAATTTCATAATAAATTGCTTTTATTCTGATACGTATTGGTTTTTCTTTGGAACCTTAGAATGTATCCCCTATGATTCCATACTAATTACCATTCCATCTCCACGGTTTCTATATTCGCGGCATATTTATGGAACGTATACCCCGCGAATGAAGAACTTTTACTGTACCAAAACTTTAGAAATTTCTGCGACACAATCCAAACAATTTTTTGAAATTATCTTTATCTTTATGGGCGGTAGGAAGGACATTTAAGTATAAAACCGAAAAACGTCACGTCACGCGTCACGTGTGACCATTAGTGGATATGTCCAAAAGGAGTCATTTTAACAAGCTTCAGAAGCTAAACTGTTTGTGATAACCCGAAAATTGTCATTTTGGCAAATTGTTAGTAAATCGCGCCTACGGTGTGCTGTACGAGATGTATTGCATATGCGCTTGTATTTGTTTATTTTGATTTGTATATCCCATCTGCAGTTTTGTATGGTACAAGCCTAAAAGTTTTCTGTCAAAACAAAACCAATATTCCGCATTCGTCCGCTGGAAATAAAGTTGTATTTTTCTGGTGTTTACTAATTAGTTAATGCAATTTAACTCAATTTTGTTTTGAAATACTACTATAATATACAATTTAAAGAATTTTACTTCTTACGCGTATACATTAATACTACGTTTAACTCACGTTTTTTTGGAAATTTTCACTGTACAATGAAGTAAAATATTTGTTTATTGTGGTATACTTAGAGCTTCTGTTCAATAGTTTCGGTAGTTCAAAAGTAAACATCACAAAATGCCCATTTACGTATTCGAAATGAAATAATAGTATAGTTCTTGTTAGATATAGTTTAATGAAATTTTCGCATACTTTTTCTATACAACATATAAACAAAAGAAGATATAAACTACAAAAAAAAATGCATATTTTATAAAATTAGTGGTAATGTATCATAAATGGTTTACACATCTCCAGAATTTAACATAACATCGCTGTTTGCCGTAAGTTCAGTATCGCTTATGTTTCTTTGTGACCTATTATATTTGAAACGTCTTAGACCATGTACAATAGAATTACCTTTCGTGTTTCGCATACAAATAAAACCTAGGATTACAAGTAGAGTTACGATTATAATAGACAAGCAAGTAATTATGGGGACGTTGCCACTGCTTGCGTTGGACTCTGAAGGGTTTGTTACGAGACGTTCAGAACTGACATGATTGCCTTTCCTTGGAATAGTATTAGGTCCACGAACATCCGCCTGTATTGAAGCTATGGCTTCAGACATGCTCTTTATGGCATTCAAAATGGTTATTGTCATTTGTGATTGCTCCTTCACGTTATCCATAAACGTTAAAATTTTCGTCCAATTATTTTCAGAAACTGGTACTACGTGAGCTGTGTCATGATTATTGATAGCAAATTGTTGATTTACTTCTCCCGATTGTATGGGATCAGAATTTATTCTTGCTCGATTGGATATGTTATTCAAATGATTGTTTGCTCGTTCTGTCAATTCAGTGAGGTGCTTTTGATGGATTGGTGTTTCTGAAAGTGCGGAAGACTTTGCATTGACTACAATTTTTTGAGCATTTTCGGCCAGAAACTGAATATTTCTGGAGCTGTTCAAGTTTGCGTTTATCAGTTGCTCCATAAGATTGTTATTGTTCGAAACTTTTTCAACTAATTCCATCAAAATGCTGGAAAAGTATTCACTATATTGCGAAATCTCGCTCTCTCCATTTTTGTTAAACGATAGTTCAGATTTGATGCATGGTATTCCAAAAACATTCGATGGACTATGGCTGCTTCCATACATAATTGTGATACCACCAACTTTAAAATCTTTAACAATACTTGAAAGAATAGAACACGTCCAATTGTTTCTATCGATGTAAATATATTTCACATGCGGCAAAAAGGTTATAAATTCTTTCGCATTTAACAAACCAATATTGTTGTAACTGACATTTAATTCTATTAAGTTGCTTAGGAAATAGAGATCATTAAAAGTTAATTTAGTAAGTTGATTATGAGAAATGTCCAATTTAGTCAATTTTTCAAGTCCAAGCAGTAAACCAGAGGAAATATTTGTTAAGGAATTGTTGGACATGTCCAGCGTAACAAGTTGTGAGAGATCTTTAAATAAAAATGAGGGAAGGTATTCTAATCTACTGCTATTAAGATTTAAATGACTCAGTGTTACCAAACTATTGAATGTACTAGAGTTAAGTGTTTTGAAGTGATTGCTAGAAAGATCAATCGTTTGAATGAAAGTCATATGAGAGAATAATTCGTTAGCCAAAAATTCAAGGTTATTTCCACTCAGAAACAGATACTCCAGCTTTAATAAACCATCAAAAGCACCCTTATGAATTGTAACTAATTGATTATTTGAAAGAGTTAAGGTTTTTAAACTAATTAGTTTACTTAGAACCCCCGCATTTATTTCCCTTATGTTATTTTTATCTAAGTCTAATACTTTAAGGCTTTGGAGACCTGTAAAGGCATTTACTTCTAAAACGTTAATACCGCACTTAGTCAAGTAAATTTCTTCTAAATCGGGTAATACAGAAAAAGTCATTTCTGGAATTGAATTTAGATAACCATTCATAAATAAAGCTTTATATACATTATAATTAAGTTCTGAACGCCATTGTGAAAGGAACTCCTTAGAAACAGTGTTACCACCCACGCAAGTTAATGACGTTAAATGATTATATCTGTCTTCCTCGTAATCATCATCTGGATGTTGTAAAGTCTGAGGATGGCAGTATGGGTATTGTTCAAAATTTTGGGCATTCGAAAATAACACAGTAAATTGAAGAAGGATAACCACCAGATTAATGTCCATCCTTGTTCCTTCAATAAAAAAAAAATATATATATAAAAGAAAGTCGTGTTAGTTACACTATTTATAACTCAAGAACGGCTGAACCGATTTGGCTGAAAATTGGTGGGGAGGTACCTTAGAACCAGGAGACGGATATAGGATACTTTTTCCCGTGCCGTTCCACATAACTTGACATAAAACAAGAGACAAAGACTGTCTTTATGCTAGCAAAACCAAGACTTAATGTATATATATAAAAGAAAGTCGTGTTAGTTACACTATTTATAACTCAAGAACGGCTTAACCGATTTGGCTGAAAATTGGTGGGGAGATACCTCAAAACCAGGAGACGGATATAGCATACTTTTTCCCGTGGAACGTGACATAAAACGTGGTTTAAGAAAACGCAACTGACATGGAATAACAAAACGCAACTGACACCAAAACGAAAAATTTATCAGTCAAAATATCAGTCTATCCGTTAAAAATGGTATAAAAAGATTCAATCTCTGTTTGGGGGAGGAGTGGTGAAGAGGAGTTGCAATGTTTAAATGAAACATATATTATTCGTGGTCAGATTTACTTGAAACTTGGTCTTAATTGTTTCTCATTTAATTTCTGAAAGACTTATCTCGAGATTTCAAAAAATTCAACCTACGAAGGGTGGGGAGGGGTAAAAAGGTGTTGCAATTTTTGTTTGGACTTGGTATATATGCTGTTTGATATTATTAATCAAATGAAAAGAGGTTACAACATTTCCATGGGGTATATTTTATTTGTACTTGGATTTACTCGAAGGTTGCTCATTGTTGAGATTAAGCAAAGACGTGTTTTGGCAATTTTTAAAAATCAACCCTTAGGATGAAATGATGTTGCTACGTTTGTATTCGAAATCTAAGATGGCGACATTACATAAAATTAAAACGTTGTAAGGGTGAAGTTGGAGTTAAAAGGTTTTATGGAGAAACAATATTAATTTCTGCGAGCGATGTCGAGGGAAAAAGCTATTTTTTGTCAAGTTTATCGCGGAAAGCTCGTTTTGCGTACTATGAAATAGGGAAGAAATGGCCTCTTTTCAGCCGTGTTTTAGTCGGGAGGTAATGAAATCAGTCTTTTCAGCGCATGCGCTGAAGTTTATGGGCATGCGCAAAAATCACTTGTTCAATAATAATGTCTTTCTAACCTCTAAATCATTTACTCTTATTTCGCCAACTATCAATTTAATAATGAACTTTCCGCACAAACATGACAAAAAATAGTATACGAACCTCGGGAAGAAACAGGGTTGTCACAGACTGTATGTTTGCAATTCACATGCAGTCTGGAATAACCCTGTTTCTTCCCTTGATACGTAATGTACTATTTTATCAATATACCGCCTATCTTCTTTAAGTTGATGTGATAATTTGATTAAGTAGGTACGTAAAAATTATTCAAAAATACCGTAAGTATTGTCTCGCCTTGCGCTTGCGGCAGCTCTTGGAGGTTCGTTATAAAATTAAAAATTCAAAGTACTTGTAACTTCCAAATATTTATGGTCAACCTGTATTTCGTCACGTTGTGACTTCTTCAGAAGTTACACAGAGGAAAAATCACTAATGTAAATTTGTCCTTCGAGATGGTCCATCTTACATTATTGCAAAATTAATAAAGAAATTAAAAACAAATTTTATAAATGTAGATTACGTTTCATATAAAACTTCTGAAGAAGCCGCAGTGCGTGCGAATAAGCTATTATTAATTAATATAATTTTATAGAAAATTTTCAAGTTGGTGTTTAATTAATATCCCAAATAATTAATAAATTTGAGCTTTAATATTATTTAAATCTTAAACTCTTACCTCAAAATACCACGGGAATACTTAAAATTTCACAACAGCTTACTAATTATATTTATGAAAAGTATGTGTTATTCTAACGATGCTACAAACAAATCTGAATGGTGAACAACGCAAGATAAACTTTGTGGTTTCCTTATTGGTTTTGCGATTGCAGTAACGATGCAATAAATAGAAAACATATATACTATATATATATATGCATACTTCTGAATAATGCTTTAAATGCGAAATATATAAAGATAATCTGACATTAGCCGATAACTTTAATTGAATCTGAGGCCCAGTGAAAACGTCATACACTGGTTTCCAGAAGTTTGA